TCCGCTCCATTACTTCCTTAGCCTCTGCTAAGATCAAGTGTAGTACCCTTTCGGATAAGTTGAAACCCGCAATATGTTTGCCCAGTGCCCACTATTTTGTTCCAATGCAACCATACTCGTGCCTCATCATTCGGGGCTCAGCCTACCAGATCTCCTTGGCTGGTGCTGCCTACCACAACGAAAACAATAGTGTCGCGCCGGTTTGTTTGCGTTCCAGCAAGCTGCAGAAATTCACATCGGGAAAACGAGGCTACTGGTGCTTTAAAAACTGATCTGCCGTGTTGGACAACAAAGCTCTCAAGGGGGCAAAACAAGTCAAATACCCACTCCTGTAGCAAGCAAGCACGGCAATAATAAGGTAGCTTCAAGGGGCATCTGTTTGCTCACCTGACTGTCAGAACCGTATAGTACTGGTAAGGTGTAGGCTTGGTGCAGCTGCTGGTTAGCAGAGACCTGCAATGCGACTTGCTGTCTGATCAACTACCGCAGCAATATGGCAGAAAGCTGGAACGATGAAAGACATGCTCTCATTAACTTCAGGAAGCAGACAAACTCTACACCTGGAAGTCAATCGACAACCCTAAATCAATCTACACCATCTGACACAACCGTCTAACTTGAACAAAAACACCATCAAGAGGGACTCCACCTGTTAGTTTTTATCATCCTATATACTCATCATGTCTTTAGATACAATGAGCTCATGAGAAACCGTCCACAATAGAGCAGCTTCATCTGCAACCCTCAAATCCAGTCATCAACATAGGCCACAAATGCTGCACCATCACCCATTGCTAAGCCCTCTGTCCACCAAAAGATGGCAAAGCTGAGCTAGGGATGACATGAGCTAATTTCACAACTGCACTGGGTCATCCGCGCAGACAGATCCATGCAGACTTCAGTCGGAAAAAGAAGCCTGTTCTCAAGCTGTGATGTCCTCACTTGAGTGAAAACGATCGTCACGCTGTGTGTGTTTTATAGCTTCCTCAGGGTATTTTTCCACCTCTATGTTCGAGAATGGGCCCAAGCCCGAAAGAATTAAATAAAGAGCTCCTAAGAAAGAAATGTAATCTGACATGATAGTCTCAACAACATTTAGCAAGGATGTATTTCAAAATCCCTTACCATTTCCTTTCCAAAAATAGAAAAAGGTTTCACGATAAATGACGATTTCACCAGGGCATAGCCTGCTTTACCAAAATAAGAAGGAAGATAGGAAGCAGCAACTGGACATTCTTTCCCTGGAAGACATCCAACAGTCCGGCAGCTTCGTTTTCCCCTGCCTATGTCACAACGGGCATCATCTCACCTGTAGTTTGACTACCCCTGTACACAGGAGCCAGGAGACCTCTGACAGAAAGGACGATCGCATAGGCAGCATCCACGTACCCAGAGTTTTGCATTGCTTGCAAATGGGTTTGAAATGAATCACAACGAACTGCATAGAGTTCTACCGACTGTCTCCACATTATTGGCTGAGCAAAAAGGACTGAGCACATGACCCTAGAAACACGTCAATCAGACTGAGCAGAAAAGAGGGACAAAACAATCTGGACCGCAATGTCACGTTTTGCGCTAATTAGTCCAGGACAAAAACCACGGCCGCACCTCTCTGTCCTACGGTCACACGCCTTTCTTCCCCTCTTTCGCCACTTCTTTCCCTCATTCTCCTGCAGACACACGGAGTATCTCCATTTGCCAAAACGAATGGTCAAACATCCCACCAGTGAAACGGCAAGGACATGATATACCCTGCCTCACACTGCACACAATCAACCTAACCACAAGAAATGGCATCAATGATGCATGTATCACATCATGTTCTATCACCACATAATCTAACATCAACAAAGGGCATTAATGGTCAGGTATTCCCCAAAACACAATTTGCCTTAAACCACTAGTACCTCCACCAGTGTTTGGAAATTAGGGGAAAACGCCCGTTCCCGAAGAAAATCGGAGTGGGACCCAGGCTCGGCAAGTCCCATAAAGTTTCGTTTTATATTGCCCGCGAATGAAAGGGGGAAAAAAAAAAAAAAAAGATACTTTCTCTACTGCAATGATGTCGGGCAGGGTAGTGCCGTGTTCACAATAGTCCTCCACAGAATGAATCTTACTGCTAAAACGGTGAGATTCTGAATTTCGTTGTTTTGTTTTTTTCCTTCTCTTCTCATTCTTAAGAGTTCCCTGCCAACGAGGCAGGGCGGAATCCGTGATCTGCTCAAGATGTGTTTCCTCGGAGGATGGTAACCCTGATCACACTGGCACTTACAGGAATGCATTGATCCAATTTCACGACCACATCCATGTTTCCTTTTTCTTCTTCTTCTTCTTTCTCGTTCTCGAATCTGACAACCTGGCTACAAGGCTGAGACGCCCTCAATGAGGGCACACTCACACTACCACTTCCAAGAATGTATAGAACTGCATTTCACGGCCGACGCTTTGTTTCCTTTCTTTTTTTCTCCTTCTTTTGTGAGCTTCATGGCTGCGACTTTTCTTCTTTTTTTTGGTTGTTCTTTACGTGAGAGTACGAGAAAAGAAAATGGAGTGGGTCTCATGGGACTCGGGCTCCAAAAAACTCGGAGCGCAGTGAAATGCAGGCTCGGCAAAAACAGGCTCCGAGGTCCTAGTGGTTTAACCTAGAAAAACGACCTTTAGGCTTTAACAGAGCAGATCATCCTAAGCCAAATGATAGCATATGCTCAGTTAACTTTCAGATATGGCATCAGTACAACTGTTGCATCCACCTCAGTCAGATGCAGGAATTCCTTTTGGAGTCCAACAACCGAAGAGAGCGGAAAAAACAAAAGAGAAGGCACGGAACAACTGATGTTCGCACTGTGCATTCCCCAACACGTACGTCAGCTCAACTAACAACGATGACTCCAACAGAGGACATCAATCACCCTAATCCCAAAATAGAATGTGTTCAGTTCCAGAACATGACCTTTGTTGCACCTGCTGACCATCATCTGCGTCACTTGCAGAAGTGCCAGAAACCAATTTGACCATCCTGCAGCTGACGAGAGCACCGCTGCTTGGTGCATAACCAGATCCTTTCTTTCCTCCAATATCAGGTTCCTGATGGTTTCTTCCGATCTCGTGGAAGTCCCCTTCCCCTACCGCGGGGTGCTTGCTCCCGGATGGAATGGCCCAACTCATCAGCTTTAAGCGTGCACCATTAAGTTATCAGCATGGTACCCAAATGGGAAAACGCAACAAACAAATGTTTCACAACAGCTTACACTCGCACTTGAAACTACCAGGAAATGTAAAGGTTCTCAGCATATCAGATCACTCCTGCGAAGCCATATATTATACACCTGCAGATTGTTTGCACTGCACAAGCCATAAACTCGAATAATACAGCTGTCCCGTCAATCTTCTGAGCATGAAGTCATCCACCAGTAACACATCTCTCTCTCTCTCTCTCTCTCTCTCTCTCTCTCTCTCTCTCTCTCTCTCTCAATACAGCTATCCCGTCAATCTTCTGAGCATGAA